CTCTCATGTTCTGTACCTCTGTTTCAGACGTGAAGAGATGGCGATAGAAATCAGTAGCAATATTCGCCTTTCCTTTCTCATCCGTAACCCACTCCCCAGCTTCATTCTGGAGCCCAGCCACAAAATTCCTTTTGCGTCGAGCTCTAGTCACTGTATGGAAGTACGAGGTATTTTTATCCCCTTTTTTGAGCAAGTGCACCCGAGATTTCTGTTGCCAGTATTCTTCCTCCGCCTCCCATTGTCTATTCAATTCAACCTCAAGCTCACGGATCACATCCCAATTAATCGGATGCTCCTGCTTAACCCTTTCAATCTCCGATTGTAAGGTTTTGATATTCCGCAAGGAGTTAGTGGTTCCTGCCCTGCTCCAATCAAACAATAAATGACGGAGCTTTTTGAGACGCTCCCAAAGTCGAAACATTGGAGTGCCCTGGATTTCCTCCTTCCAGACATAAGTAACCATGGCTCTGACCTCCGGATTATCAGCCCAACGAGCGTCAAACCAGAAGAGGGGTCGGCTATTGCGGACATAAGGCTTGTCCGACAAAACAATCGCCCTATGATCCGAGCCCTGGTCTGTAAAGTGCTTAAGCAACGTCTCAGGAAACCTGTCCAACCAGGACTGGGAGCACAGCGCCCTATCCAGCCTTTCCCGAATACAAGCCACCCTCATCCTCTTATTTGTCCAGGTGAAGGGGTCACCTTGGTACCCTGGGTCAATGAGGCCCACATTCTGGATAAAATTCCGGAGACTCAGGGATTGCAAAGCGTTCCATTGGTTACCCCCATCCTTTTCACTTTCGTGAAGAGTAGTGTTGAAGTCCCCAATGAGCACAAAAGGCTCCGTGATCCCATTACAAATCTCCTGGAGATTAGCCAATTGGGTGGCGCGAATTGCCGCATGGCAGCTAATGTACACAAACACCACCACATAGGAAAAATTTATTTCATTAATTCGAACGCAAATACAAAAATTTGAATGATAGAACACCGAAGCATGAACCTCGGGGGACCAAGCCACAACCAAACCACCAGATGCCTCCACCGCATCAACAAAAAAACAACAAGAAGAAATAAAACCTAACCCCCGCATACGACGGGAAACTACTCTCCGTCTCGATCGTGTTTCAGAGAAAAACACGAGATCCGGTTTATTAGAATGAACTAAACCGACAGCAGTTTGGAATGTGAGGGATGGTCCAATGCCTCTCACATTCCAGGCCAGTAGCCTCATTTATCTGGGTGGGGCCATTCCAGGCTGGCTACCTCCACCTTATCAGCTTCATCCTTATCCTCCACAAACTGTTTTTTTGGGGTTGGGATCTCTGACACCTCGCCATCCATATCCTCTAAATGTCTTTTCTTCCCTCCCATCGCTTGAGGCGACATATTAGTCCCATATTCATTGATCCCGATTCCAATAGAGAGCCCCGAGTTAGGGGACGGGCTCCCAACCGGATCAGGATCCTTCATATCGAGCCCCTTTTCGAAAGCTTGGACCACTTGATGGACCCTGTTGGCCCGGATTAAGCGCTTTAAGCTGCTTTGCACCTCTGGCTCCCGACGTCTAACTTCAAAAGCCTGCTCATCATCCTCCGAGGCCGTATCCACCGAATCCCTAGACTCAGGAGGAGAGCGAGTTGCCTTCTGTCCTTTGTTTCCAACCTTCGCACGCGGCACATGATACACACCCTTCCCCTTTTCATTCACCGCCTTTAGCGACCCAGCCACCCCACAATTTTTGGATTCTGGCCGTTCATTATTCTTCTGGACAGCCCTCGGAACTTCCTGGTCGGGAGCAAGTTGCCTTAACGGCACTGCATCAATCACCACCTGACTGGCCACCGGCGGGCAAGGCACCGGCTGGGGAATTTCACCAACCCGGAAATCGTCTTCCGATTCCTCCTCCAGCAGCAGGCGACGTCGCCTTGTCATCCCCACCTCGCCCATACCAGGCTCGCTTTGGAGGTCTTGATTTTCCACTGGACGAGAGCCTCGTCTTCGCGCACTACCTCCTTGCTTCTCCACCGGCAAAGTGCTAGCCCTGTTCATTCGGCTGGGGCGAGCACGAGGCGCCGCTGCCTCACCATCCACCTCCATTGGGCTACCAGCCCTCCCCTTACGCGGCTTTCCCCGTCGAGCCGTCTTCCCCAGAATTATTTTTGGGGCCTTAGCAACCGGGACTTTCAGCGGACTCTTCTTCGGACGGTCGCGGCTTTCAGTCGTGAGAAAAGGCCTCTCCGATGTACCCATCCAGAGAGGTTCACTCTCCCTGGCTCGCGGCCTGCCCTGCATCGGGATATTTTTCCCTAGCTGTTGCTTTCCACCTGCCTCATCAGCGATCACCTCTTTCCCCCCTTGGAAGAAACATTAACCCAGACGGACCTCGGGTTCCGACGAGGCAACTGATCGGACCCATCATCCTCAAAGATCCTTCGCCCCATACTTTTAGTGGACATATGGGGTCCAAATCTTTCTTTCCTTGCCGGTGGACCAAATCTGCAGCTTTGACGCGCATGCCCTACCCTCCCACACTTAAAACAAAAGCTAGGGAGGTATTCATATTTAAAACGAATCCAGAAGCCCCCCGTCTCCTCATTCCGCGCCATAATTTGGGATCGCAAGGGCTGGGCGAAGTCAATCAAGACCTTCACCTTGATGAATTTTTGCGCTGTCTCAGTGCACGAAAAAACTCCAGCTTCCAAGACACGGCCAACTGAGGAAGTCGCTATTTTGCGACCAAATTGATGGGTACAGCACTCTTCTTGAACATCCCAGATTTGGACCTTGAACGGCGCAATGGAAAGCTCCTCGAAAGTGCGTTGCGAGACAGTCGGCACCCACGCCCTCACATGGAGTATCCTATTCGCCACAATCCAAGGGGTTTGTTGGAGCACCCAATTCCTCGCTGCCTCCGAGGGGAGAGTGAATTCGTAGAGCTCGTGTGCCAATTGACGCACAACAATATGCCCCTGACCTTGCCAAGGCCTATTCACCGCATCCCGCAATTCCGATGGCGTTAGTCGGTCATCAGTGAATAGGCGCCCAATCAGCATTCTAGATCTCCGAATCCGCGTGGCCTGGACCTCTTCAAGTGAGAAGTCCACAACCTGGTCATTAGGAACACGAGCCATTGGAATAACCTGCATGGGCAACGACGTGTTTTGGTCAGTCACCATGCAACAGTCAAAGCCCCCTAGCGACCAAGGGAATTGGGAGACAGAAAAGACGATGACGTGCATGGGTGAAGCACCCATCCACATTGAAACATTAATCTCAACAGAGAATATAAAACACCTACCGAAAGAAAGCCGCAATTCTCGCTTCGCAGACCCTTTTGTTTTACCCAGACGTTCCTTCAGCTTGAGAGAGTATACAGGAACAACAGGGTATGGGTGAGGGTTTAAATACCCAATCGAGAGCTGGCAATTCCCCGGACGAGACCATCCTACTTGGAGAAGGTCTCTGGATTTTAATAAAAAGGAATATATTTTATTGGATATTCCTAACTTACGTGCAATCCTTTTAGGATTCTGCACTATCCGATTGTATCGCTTCTGTTGGGCGCCGCAAGTGTGGGTAGGAGTCCAACTCCAGCTGGGACTGCTCAGCCGACACAGCCGTGACAACCCATTACGCCGGAAATTGGTCCCCGGCGGCGACCCATGCACGCCGGTCCGACCGTCAATTGACGGCCCCGATCGCGCCCTATCCTGGGTTCTGCACTCCGACGGGAGCACCCCCCTTCCAATATCAGTTTTCATCACAAGTGTGACAAACTCCAAAGACATCTCACAATCATCTTTCATACCATCATCTTCACTTGCTCCATCATCCTCACTTGACGATGGAAGGCTAAAACGCCATGGTCTAGAATTGGCCGACCTCGCCCCATTACGGGATCTGAGTCCGATCTTATCACTTCTGACCTGAGATTGGGGTCTCTTTCCATGACTAGGGTTTTCGTTGATTTTCATGGTGAAGCAGTCCCCTTCATCGATTTCAATCTCACTCGACGACGGGAGCCTAAAACGCCACCCCTTGAGTCGTCGACCTCTTTTTGCCGACTGGTCGACCTGCGTGACACACAGGTCAAGCTGAGGCCTATCCCTTTTCCGGACAGGGCGCACGGCGCGATCTCCCACCTGGTTTTTGGGAAGTCCGTGCGATTGGTGATAAGCAGCTGTCTCCCGATCAGTGTGGATGCCTTGATTTGCTATCGCAACATTCAGCAAGCAGAGTAGAGTCCGGCCGGAAGCCCTCCCGCGCGTCCAGAGAATCTGAAGAAACGCCGACCACCAGACATAGATGAGAGAGGAGAGAGCTCCTCGTCCCATTTTTTTTTTTTAATCTTGAGTTAATATTTTTAATGTGTGAGAAAAACAAAAGCTAGGGAGGTATTCATATTTAAAACGAATCCTTCTTTCAACCTCATCCATCTCCTTACATTTTTTTTTTCTTTCTAATTACATGTACTTGTATTCAAAATTCCGAGAATTTTACATTTCCTTATATCACTTTTAGATATTTTTAATGTTGTAAATACGCGAGAAGATCAATTTCTCGAATAATTTAATTGTATTTATTATCTTATAATTTTTTGTAAAATATTTTAATGAAAAAAATAATAATATTACTAATGTTTTTTCTCTAAATTTCATGTTCATATGTTCAACTCACTCTCCAAAATAAAATTGACCGACCTAAAATCCATAAAAAGTATGAGTATCGAGATACCACCCAACCCGCGCCATTATCATTCCTACTGCACCTTATTACTTGATTAAAAAAGACCTAAATAAAAATATCAAATGTATTGCCTAAAATGGAAAACAAGAAGGGGTAGCTCCACATCCATTGATTTTGTTGGGCCGGGTCGGGCGTCGACATGGGTACGTAGCCCACTTCAAAACCATACAATCTAGTAACGTTCTAAAAAAAATAAAGATTTTTTTTTAAAAACTAAAACCATACGATCGGCACTTTCCGGAATCAGGTACATAATGCGTGGATGTTGAAAAGGAGCAGCTTTCAAATTCCGTAGCAAAATCCCCTTTTTCCTGTCCTCTGTTCGTTGCAGTTGCTGTCACCATTTCCAGTTTATCCGAACTGCGTGGTTATGGTACTGGTTGGTTGTAGCGTCACCAATTCCAATTCCCATTCCTTCGAGCTAGCTTTCTCTCCTTCTCTCCTCAGCTGCCGCTAGGAATCATGGAGTTGATTAATCCAAATTTGATCAACGCTTGTCCTTTCCGCACCAGCCGCCGTAGCGATGTGCAGCTCCGAACTCCGGGTTTCCCCTCCGCGGTCTCCAGGAATCGGCTGTCGCCGGCGTTTCGAGTTTCTGCTGCTGTGACCACCACCGGTCCGACCTCGAGAAATGGCAACGGAGCGAGCACGAGCAGGAGGAGCGTGGCAGTTGCGAAGGAAGCCAACGGGGCAGCTGCCGCTGCTGTGCAATTAAGCAAGGCCATGGAGCAGCTCGACTTCGAGCGCGGCGTCTGCGTGCCTTTCCGCAAGTACTCCCCGGAGACAGTAATGAATTGTTCCTTGTAATTCGAATTCCATAAGATTCATTTCATTTTCCCCCAATTCCTGCTCTCCGATTCAGTAGTGGCTAAGTTTGATTTTGTCGGGATTGATTTTTGATTGATTGGTGATCTTTGTGGCTGTGGAATTAGGTGAGGAATAAGGTGTTGGAAACCAGAGGGAGCACTTTGTCTCTGCTGCTAAGAGGAGTGGAGATTGTGTGGAGTCTGGGGTTTTATTGGTCGACCTTGATGTATGATTACTTCGTTGGAAGGGATGAAGAGGTGGTTCCTTTTCGTGCTCGTCAGCTTAGGAATCTCCTGTGTGATTTGGGGCCTTCCTTCATTAAAGCCGGTCAGGTTCGTCGTCAGTGTGATCTCAAATTATGTTACTTGCTTGAATTCGGATGTAGTTCATGGGGTTGGAGTGAGACTCTGGCCGTTTATGGAGTTGGATTGAAAGTTTAGTTTGTGTAATTTGTGCATTGGCAGGTTCTTGCCAACAGACCAGATATAATCAGAGAAGATTATATGAACGAATTGTGTATTCTTCAAGACGATGTGCCTTCGTTCCCCAACCAGGCAAGAACTCTATGTCTTTTCCCCCCTGATGTAGTGATTAGTTGCTTTTCTGTTAGAATGTACCACGTTATATTGATTTGTCTGACTGTCGGGTACTTTGTTAGATTGCTTTCAAAATCATAGAAGAAGATTTGGGTCAACCACTTGAGGCTGTTTTCAGTCAGATTTCATCAGAGACAATTGCAGCTGCAAGCTTGGGGCAAGTTTATCGTGCTACCTTAAGGGAAACTGGTGCTGAAGTTGCAATCAAGGTAGGATAATGCTAATCCATTGCTATCATATTGGCTGCCATGATGGTCACCTGGTCGCAACAGTGTGTGAATATAACTTGCATAGTTCATCCACTTGATAGTCCATTGGATGGATAGTTGTAGACAACAAGGATGAGTATAGTGTAACAGATGCTGTACCTTAGTCCTTATACCACATAATATGCAGTGATGTGATGATCATTCCTAAAAGTTAGATTATTTTATTCCATCTTGTCTTTGTATATAAACTATTAAGCATAGTTTGTACTTGCGAGATGAATCTCTCATATTATTTCCTTTTCATGCAGGTTCAACGGCCTAACATAGAGCCTATAATCTACCGGGACCTTTTCCTTTTCAGAACTCTTGCTTCATTCCTAAATGGGATCAGCTTACAGAAGTTGGGATGCAATGCCGAGCTCATTGTAGATGAATTTGGAGAGAAGCTTCTTGAAGAGCTTGATTACACCTTGGTATTATACCTAAAAGTTACTTTTTTATGTCAATTATTTTCTATGCATTGTTAATCGAATAAAGTATTCAACTTGCTTGGTTCTATCAATTTTCAATCAAAATGGTGAAAGAAGATCCTATGTTCAGTCATGACTTGGCCACTTCTTATCTGTTCAGGAAGCCCGGAATATCGAAGACTTTCTGGAGAACTTCAAAGATGATCCAACTGTTAAGATTCCTAAGGTTTACAGAAAGCTTTCAGGATCACGTGTTATAGTTATGGAATGGATTGACGGTATTCGGTGTACTGATCCACAGGTATTGATAACCTGAAACCTCTGCGCTTTTATTTTGCACTTGGACATTCTTCTCCTATTGCCAGCAATAATGCATTGTTCAAAATATCATGCAGGCAATCAAGGATGCTGGCATTGATGTTAATGGATTCTTAACACTTGGGGTTAGTGCTGCTTTGCGGCAGTTGCTTGAATTCGGTTTATTTCATGGGGACCCACATCCTGGAAATATTTTTGCCATGCGGGATGGCCGTATTGCGTATGTAGATTTTGGGAATGTTGCTGTGCTTAGTCAGGTATGATATGCATTTCCAACCTCATGCAGTGATGCATGGTGTTACCAACAACTGACAATTGTGAACTTCTGTGTAAACTGTAAATTCTCATTTTGTTTAATATATTGTCATATCTGCAGCAAAATAAGCAGATACTGATTGATGCCGTCGTTCATGCTGTGAATGAGGACTATGCCGAGATGGCAAATGACTTCACCAGGCTTGGTTTCCTGGCTAGTGGAACAGATGTGGCTCCTCTCGTTCCAGCCCTGGAAGCAATTTGGCAGAACTCAGTTGGGAAAGGACTTGCTGATTTTAACTTCAGAAGTGTTACAGGTAAGTGGTATATCTCGCCCAGCTTTCCAAGAGTTGTCTTTCTTTGTGTCTTTATTAAACAAAATGAATCCCTGATGCCCAACTGGGTTAACTTGCGTGTCAACATTCTGCAGGGAAATTCAACCAGCTGGTTTACAATTACCCCATTCGCATACCGGATAGATTTTCTCTTGTTATCCGGTCTTTGTTGACTCAAGAGGGTATTTGTTTCACCCTGCAGCCAGATTTTAAATTTCTTGAGGTAAGACTGATTTTTCCTTCAGTAATCTCTAGTCTGTACCAGAGTTCAGCTGTGCGTTTGTGCTATAAGCCGTTCTGTTAAACTTATGGAACAAATGTGATGTGGGACTTATCTCTATTGAACTGTGTTAAGCCATGGGATAGAATTTGCATATAGTCTTTATTAGTAGTCTTTGATTAGTATGCTGCTCTGCTCTCTCTAATTCCAGATTTTGTCAATGTACTTTTACAGGTCGCCTACCCTTATGTGGCAAAGCGCCTTCTAACTGATCCAAATCCAGCTCTTCGTGAGCGCCTCATACAGGTACTCTATTCTTTTGGAGATATTTGCTCTATTTGGTTTGTATCTTTGATCCTCTCTAGCTGTTGATGACAATCTAGGTCATGTCTTGTCTGAACCTAAGGGAATCGTTTATAATTCTTCACATTCTTGTGTTAGGCTTCCAAGGTCGGAAGAACTCACTAGAAAATGAACTTTTTTCCTTCAGGTTCTTTTCAAAGATGGCGTTTTCCAGTGGAAGCGGCTAGAGAATCTCATCGTCCTTGCAAAAGAGAACGTAGCCATGTTGAGCACCAACCCAGCTATACAAACAAAGAGCACATCTGTGTAATTCTTTTTCGTCTTGACTAAATTCTGCTGTCGTATATTTGTTAATTAACCTTTTCCAGGACTCACATTATCGTTCTGGGTTTGCAGGAAAAGTACCAAAGACTGGCAATCACAAAGTAAGCTAGATTTGACTGATACAATCAAAGATGGAGCACGTCTGTTCTTTATCGACGAAGGAATTCGGAGACAGCTCCTTTTGGCTTTCACCGAAGACTCAAAGCTTCACATACAAGAGGTGAGCAGGATCGAAATCTAGTCGTTTGATCATGCTGCTGCTTTTTGAATTCCTTCTGACACCACCGTGTCCTTTTTTTTGTATGTTTCTATTAGCTTGTTGATGTATACAGACTGCTTGAAGGTGAAATAGATATACCCACAGTTGCTGTGGAAGTTGTAAGAGGTACATTTCGGTTCTACGACACTCTGATACTATCTTTGAGTTACATATCTTGGCTTTGTTCCTCAACATTCTACGCTTTTCTACGTGCAGATTTTCCGACGATAGTCCGGGATCTCATGCTCTCATGGACCGATTCAATCTTATCGGACAGGCGGTAATGACACTCATTTGCCAATCGTTAACAAAATCTGCATAGCTTCCCAAGGACAATTCTTATTTTCCCCCCATTGTGTAGAGGTTGTATATGAGCTGTGAAAATGTATAGTAAGATTTTCGATACAGACCGGCTTTTCTGAAGAGTGTGCAAAAGACTCATCGGCCTTCTGAAATTTCCTGATCAATATATAAAAGGCCGGTAGAATTTGCAGCGGTGTAGCTGAAGCAAAAGGTAGCATTGGTGAATCCAATCTTTCAACAATTTTTTGACGGTTCGTTTGAAAGGAGTAATTTTACAACAAAACTACATACATATTTGTTCAAAATTGTTGATGTGAGGGTCCTAATTGTTAAAATCCATAATATAGGGGATCTGTAAGGATAATAAACAACTTGATCCTAAAGATATAAGGAGAACTGGAGAAGAGACTTCGCCTACTTGAGAGTTTCGAAACTCACCTTTGATTGCACAGTGCGCTCGCAGCAAGAGAGGACCTCCGGCGTCGTCTCCTCGTCGAAAAAACCTTGTCGGCGATCTTCGCTGTCTCCCTCGCCGGGCGAGCTGTGACGTTCTGGATCGGCAAAGGCTCTCGGCGGAGAAGACAGCTAACAAGAAGGGAAAGTAAGAGAGAGAGAGAGAGAGAATGAGAGAGAGAGATGAGAGGGAAAGTTTGTTATTATTTCTCAAAGTGACCGTTAGGTTGTTACAGCCCCTCCTTTTATACTCTCTACCCAATTATCCCGATTGGTCCCCACATTATTCCTCTTTACATTTAAGCCCGAGTGTTACAACTCCTCCTTCCTTCAGAAAAGACTTGTCCTCAAGTCTCAAATTCTGGAAATCTTTGCTTGAATGCATCCAGAAACTCCCATGTGGCGTCATCCTCTGTCTGATGCGTCCATTGGACTAAAATTTGTGTAGCTGCTGCATTGTTCCTTGCTACTACTCGCCTTGCCAAAATCACCTCTGGCTCTACCTTCAGTGCACCCTGATCATCCAATTCAGGCAACGCAGGCTGAACTGGAACCTGTTGACCACGAGCTCTTTTGAGCAAAGAGACATGGAACACAGGATGTATTATGGACCCTGCTGGAAGTTTCAACCGATATGCAACACTTCCAATCTTCTTCTCAATCTCAAACGGCCCATAAAACTTGGGTGATAGTTTCTGATTAGACCTTGCAGCCACTGATGATTGACGGTATGGACGAAGCTTCAAATACACCCACTCCTTCTCCTGAAACGCCCTCTCCGTCCTGTGCGCATCAGCCATCTGTTTCTGACGATTTTGAGCCCTGGCAAGGTTTTCTCGAAGGATGCCAATCACCCTCTGCTGCTGCTGTAATCTATCCGCCACAGCTGCCACAGAGGTCGACAGAGGATTGGTAATAGAGAATTGAGAGGGAGAGTAACCATACAAGGCTTCGAAAGGAGTGCTCTGCAAGCTGCTGTGGTAATTGGTGTTATACCACCACTCAGCTAAGGTCAGCCAAGCAGCCCAAGAAGGGGGATTATGATGAACCATTCCGCGCAAGTACTCCTCCAAACAACGGTTGACTCTTTCAGTTTGGCCATCCGATTGGGGATGATAGGCTGTGGAAAAATGAAGCTTCACTCCCTGCAACTGGAAGAGAGTTGACCAAAACGTACTGGTGAACAGAGAGTTTCTATCAGACACTATAGTCTGAGGCAACCCATGTAGCTTGAATACACCATCGAAGAAAACCTGTGCCACAGACTTGGCAGTGTATGGTTTTGCCAAGCTGAATAAATGACTATACTTGGAAAAGCGGTCCACTACAACAAACACCACTTCCTTACCCTGAGACTTGGGTAATCCCTCCACAAAGTCCATAGAAATATGTTTCCACGCCTGATCTGGAATTGGCAACGGTTGCAGCAAACCGGGGTAAGGCACATTTTCAGTCTTACAGCGCTGGCACACATCACACTGCTGCACAAACAATTTCAAGTCCTGTTTGAGACCAGGCCACCAGAAATACCGTTTCAGCCTTTGATAATTGGCCTGCAAACCAGAGTGACCACCCACAGGGGACTCATGGAACAGCTGCTTCCTCATAGTACCTGTCACTCCCACATACATGGCTGCCTTGTGATATAACAGCCCTTGCTTCACTGAATAAATTTGAGGACCTACCACTGGCACAGAAGCTTCCATCATCAACTCTTGCACAGCACTGTCCCCTTCATAAGTCAGCTCGATCTCAGCTAACCACGCAGGCAACACCCCTGAGATTGCCTGACACTTACCTAGCTGCATAAGACTGGGATGTCGAGACATGGCATCTGCTACTTTATTGAACTTACCCTGCCTGTATCGAATCTCAAAATCCAATCCCAACAACTTCACTAAGCCTTTTTTCTGGATTTGAGTATGTATCTTCTGGCCTAACAAGTGTTTAAGGCTCTCATGATCAGTCACAATTTCAAACCTTCTGCCTTCCAAATAATGCCGCCATTTAGTCACTGCAATCAGTACAGCCAAATATTCCTTCTCATAGGTGGACAAACCCTGTTTTCGTGGCCCCAAACCTTGGCTGAGATAAGCTATAGGTTTACCTGCCTGAGAAAGAACAGCCCCTATACCAATATCACTAGCATCAGTTTCCAAAACAAAAGGCAGGTTGAAATCTGGTAGGGCTAGGACAGGCGCCTGCACCATAGCCAACTTCAATACCTCAAAAGCTCCTTGAGCCACCTCAGACCACTTAAAGCAGTCTTTCTTCAACAAATCTGTCAAGGGTTTAGCCAAGATGCTGTAGTTGCGCACGAACTTCCTGTAGTATCCAGTCAAACCAAGGAAACCCCTTAATTCCTTGATGTTCTTAGGTACAGGCCAAGCCACCATAGCTTCCACTTTGCTAGGGTCAGTAGACACCCCCTCTTGATTGATCACATGGCCCAAGTAGTCGACCTGTGTTTGGCCAAAAGAACACTTGGAAGGCTTTGCAAACAGTGTGTTTGCTCGAAGAATACTGAGGGTAACTTCCAGGTGCTTCTTATGGCTCTCCTCATCAGGGCTATACACTAATATATCATCAAAGAAAACTAATATAAACTGACGCAAATGAGGAGCAAATATCTGATTCATCAGGGCCTGGAATGTGGCAGGAGCGTTTGTCAATCCAAAGGGCATCACCCTGAATTCATAATGGCCCTGGTGTGTCCTAAAAGCCGTTTTGTGCTGATCTTGAGGATTCATCCTAATCTGGTGGTAACCCGACAGGAGATCCAGCTTAGTAAAAAACTTAGAACCCTTCAACTCATCCAACAAATCATCAATTACTGGAATGGGGAACTTATCTTTGATGGTCAAGGCATTAAGCTGCCTGTAGTCAACACAGAATCTCCAGGAACCGTCTTTCTTGAGTACTAATAATACTGGTGAAGCAAAAGGACTCCTGCTAGTTTGTATATACTGAGCCTCCATCATTTCCTTAACCAGCCTGTCCATTTCATTCTTTTGTGGAATAGAATATCGATAAGGTCTCAGGTTAACAGGTTGAGAGTTAGGCTGTAAGGGAATGCAATGATCACAATCCCTCGAGGGAGGCAAGCCCTTAGGTTTACCAAAGACATCTTTGAACTCCCTCAAGACTGGTTCCAGAAAAACAGGAACCTTGCCCGGATCAGCTGCCTCTATTGAAAGACTGAACAAGTGCCCCACCAATGTAGCCTTAGTTTTCCTCAACATCTTCTGTAGATTCTTGCCTGAGATTGCTTTGCAATGTGCCATATCTTGAATCCCTTGTAGAGCTACTTCCTGTCCTTCCCACTCAAAGAACAGCTGCAGATTCACAAAATCAAATTTCACAGGACTGATTGTCTTCAGCCAATCCAAACCCAGTACCACATCATTGGTGCCCAAACTCAGTATCCTCATATCGAATGTAAACTTCTGATCCTGCATTTCCCAACAAAAATCCTTGCAAATCATGTTGCTGATCAACACAGTACCATCAGCCAACTTAACCCTCAGTGGAGTCGACGCCTGTACTATTTTACACCTCAATTCCACAGCCTTCTTTTCACTCAGAAATGTGTGTGTACTGCCTGTATCAATCAGCACATAAATCCTTTCCTTCCTCACCTTTCCTTTCACAATTAACGAGTTGGAAAGGCCCCCACTACTCAAAGCTTGCATCGACACCTCCACCAATTCAGGTTGTTGCTCCTTGTCAGAACTGTCAACCAATTCATCATCCTCATCATCCAGAACACTCCAATCCTCCGGAGCCAATATTTCCCCATCCTCTGCCTGTATAGCATTCAACTGCTTCCTGGTGTCACATACATGGCCAAAGTAGTACTTGTCACCACACTTGTAGCACGCCCCCTTCGCATAATTTGGTTTGGAATTGTTCTGGACTGGAGCCTTACCAGAATTTTGAGAACGACTACCATTACCTTCCCACCTTCGACCCGCTTGATTCGAAACTGGCAGCACAGATTGGACTGGTCTCACACCTGCATTCGATCCAATTCTCCACTTCTTCCTCCTTGCCTCATTCGATTCCTCCTCCAATTGAGCCAACCGAAACGCATGGGACAACGTCACTGGTTGCCACATCTTAATCACCGGTCTTATTTCCTCCTAGAGGCCACTCACAAAACTGGAAATGAAGTATTGCTCCCCTAACGCAGGATTGTAGCGCACCATCTGTGATTTCAACTCCTCGAACTTCTCTTGATACTCCTGTAAAGAACCTCGCTGGCGCAACTTATTGAATTCCTCCACAATACTGCCAAACTCCCTATCACCAAAACGATGACACAGATCTAACACAAATTCATCCCACTGCCATTCACGATGCTCAACCTTCCATCCTTCGAACCAAATATCAGGGCGCCGGTCAAAGTAAATGGAAGCCATGCGAACCTTCTGATCATCCGGAACACCATAGATCTCAAACAACTTTTCACACTTGCGAATCCAATCCCTAGGATTGTCACCACGGAATTGAGGAAATTCGATTCGTGGTAACGGAATTGGAGGATTATTACCTCGAAAATGACCTAGGTGCGGAGCTTGCTCTGCATCAGGAATGATCTGGACGCCTCCTCGCGGCGGTGGAAGGTTCACCGCGACTCGCGGCTGTACCACTGGAAGAGGTAGGATTCCCCGGCCGTCGTGCCTAGCTACCTGCTGATCGACGGCGACTTCCGGCCGAGCTTGAAGTGTCTCCAGACGACGGAGGATTTCTTGCATACTCTGATCGATTTGAGCAAAACGAGCCACAGAACGATCCTCCATGCCGTCCAACCGAGTCGTGAGCACGGCGAACTGCTGAGAATGACCCTCCGAACGAGCCATCAACTCTTGAAGCCGAGTCGACTGCGACCTATTCTGATCCTCCAACGTCGCGATCTGAGTGCTGAAAGCAGATTCCGCTTCCATCGTCCGTGTAGAAAACGAGCTCAGACGATCGTCAAGCTGGCGCACCGTCGTAGCCATGGCCGAGAGCGGCTCTGATACCAATTTGTGACGTTCTGGATCGGCAAAGGCTCTCGGCGGAGAAGACAGCTAACAAGAAGGGAAAGTAAGAGAGAGAGAGAGAGAGAGAGAATGAGAGAGAGAGAGATGAGAGGGAAAGTTTGTTATTATTTCTCAAAGTGACCGTTAGGTTGTTACAGCCCCTCCTTTTATACTCTCTACCCAATTATCCCGATTGGTCCCCACATTATTCCTCTTTACATTTAAGCCCGAGTGTTACACGAGCTCCCAGTTTCCACCATCCCAAATTCAAAGCCGTCTAGGGTTTGGTGATCAGCCGATCGAGAAAAGAAATAAAATCTCGCGCGGCCAATTGTTTGCTTGCTTGTGAGTTTGTGATCTAGGCAGCCGTCGCTTCTGAGGCAATCATACCTTATTCGGAAGGGCATGAGCATTTTGTGGTAGGGACTGAGATTTATGTCCGGATGCATGTTCGTGGTAAAGAAGGGAGGCCTGTTGAGAAGCCACGCCTGTTTTGTTTTGACATGAGATCGAATAGCTGCCGCGAATGCCGCGTTAGTATTGGTCCTCGGATCATTGGCAGCAGCAGAGACATTGGTTTGTGCATCTGCGGGCTGTAGAAGATCGTCTGCTGGATAAGTTCTCGCATCTTTATGACTGCAAATTGCAGGGAGGGGTGATCCCTGTCCCTGCATTGGATGATGATGATGATGGTGGTGGTAGCAATGACAACAGTAATTTGTTCTGTCTCCTTCTATGGTCGGGTGTAGGCCGTATCTACCTTGGGGTCTGCTACTTTAGATTGACCAAGAAGCAGCTGACGCCCTCTCTTGCCATGGCAATCATCGTGTTCATCAGCGAGCAGCGGTGGAGGTAGTAGAGAGAAGAAAAAGTAATACAAACTGGAACTCGCTTAAAATTTCACGCGCTTCGAATCCCGTAGCGCAAAATGACGACTTTCTAATAAGTAATAACCCTATATATTTGTTTTAAATTGGACTCGACATTGAGCTGAAAGAGTTAGTGGTTCATGGTTCAATTATTAATTCTCTAGACTGTTGGTCAGTCGTGTATGAACCCGTTCATACTTGTGATTAGAATACATAAAAATAGTATACTAATTAGGGTTAGATGAAGAAGGCAGAGAAAGAAATAAAGAAAGGGTTATGGAAAGCGAGTGGAAAATGAAACGAAGAGGAAGTAGATGGTGGAAAGGTTTTGACCAATTCTTTTAGTTGGTCGTCAATACAAGAGTCAATCCTTTTCACCGTAACAATTTATTGACACTTGCTTATGTAGATGTCGCATATTTTGTCACATGTAGTTAGTAAAAGTTTGTTTAGTACCCCCTAAATGTACTAAATGAGTTTATAAATTCGCTCTTGCAATATTTAAGAATCATCTCTCTTTTATCATTTTTTTAATGTTTCACTTGATGAACAAATATAAAATTGTTGAATCTTCTCCTATAGTTGAGTGATAAAACATCTTGTATGTTACAACCTAAATTTATACTTTTATGTTATGGTGGATTGGATTCATGGTTTGGTTCAAAAGGATTGGTGGATTGGAATCATGGATTCAAGTGAAATATAAACATTGAACAAATATGTAAATATAAAAATTGCAGGTACGGAAATCTCATAAAACTTAGACATCAAAACGTAATTGTTCAATAATTTTACACTAAAATTAAATTTGAGATATTAAAATATAAAATTTACATTATAGTGACTAAGTTATAATTTAATAAAACTATTAACAATGTGATAAGAATATATTAGAATCCTAGAACCTAATTCTGGAGTATCAAAATCAGCATCCGAACTATGACCAGATGATGACGCATTACGAGAATTTGCGGATACTCCTTACCCGTCTGCGGTGAAGACAGATAGCTTTTCAAACTAGTAGTGGGAAGAAGAGATCTTGCTGCTTTTGAAAGTCGCTCCTATCCGTTTCAGTAGCTCATCTGCTCCTCTTCCGCTTGCTCTTTCTACACAGCTATCTTCCTTCTATTGACTGAAGCACGTCAAGCCCTGGCGGAACAACACAACAAAAATGATGAAATGAAGAAAAATAAATTCCACTCAATGATTATTGTCTACCGCGTGTGTTATATTATCGATCTTATTCCATAATAAGAGTGGGAATCGTATTGGCAAAAGATTCCAAATTGGCTTGAGAATGTTTATACTCCTAGCATGACTTGAAAATTGGGATCCTTATAAGAGAATTGTAAAACACCTCTGGTACACATATTCCTTATTAGAGAAGAAATTCTATTGGACTAGAAATTTCTCAATTACTATCATTAAATTTGAATTACATACATTAAATGAACAAAAAGAAAGTGAATCAACATTTTGTTGTATCATGGATAAAAATTTTAATAATATTTTGATGGTTCGTCTAGATTCTAGGAGTAATTACTAATTTTACAACAAAACAAACTCTATAGACTCATTTGTTCAAAATTGTTAATATGAGGGTCGTCTTTGTTAAAACCCATAATATAAGGGATCAGAAGAATAATAAAACAACCTATTCCAAAAGATATTCGAAGAGAAGAGACAGAGAGGGGGTTGCTTCGCTCATCGTTTTGCTTTTGCCGACTTCGAGGTTCGAAACTCGCCACTGATCGCACAGCGCGCTCGCAGCATTCTGAAGAGAGGATTTCCGGCGGCGTCTCCTCGTTGAAACCTTGTCGGCGCTCTTTCTTTGTCTTACTCGCCGCCTGTGCTCCCAGTTTTGCCCATCCCAACTTCATCGCCTGCCGCTCCAAAGGTAAAAGTTTCCTATCTTCCAATTGCCTTCCGCGGCTTCACTTCCTCTCCCGTTCTTCTGCTGCTTCACCTTCGCCGCTTCTTCGGGGTTTTCCGTTCGTCGTTCTTATGGCGGGGGCACCGTCTCATTCTTGCATTCATTTATTTACTCAATCCTTTTTGCTCATTCTTCCGCTTTGTTTAGAATTGGGAAATCAGTTCCTTCCATTCTGAATTGAATGTTTTGATATAGAAGATTGCGCCGGTGGTGTGCTTGGATACCGACGAGGATTGAGTTAATAAGTACTTAGGGGGTTTGTTTTACGCCGATTGTTTCTGGGCATGTCCAGCCGTTAAAGCTCTCTCCCCCGCGCTTGAATAAAACCTTTGGGGTATGGAATTCGCTGATGTCCCTTCTTCTCATCTTGTCTTTGCATGTTTGGGTTGTGATGAATGAATGAAATAGTTATGCATTTACCATTCTAAGAGAGCTGTGCCTTCGGCTTTGAATTTTTGTATTCCAGGGCAATGCCTCGTAAAGTTAACCGTGGAGTTGATTACGATGAAGCCTATGATAGTTATGATGATTATGACTATGAAGATGACAATGATTATAGCGTAGATAGCCCTGGTGAGTCCGATTCTCTATTTCCATGTAGGAGCTTTATCAATTCCAAATTTGAAGGTGGAGCTTGTGAGTTATTATCTGGCATGCTACATTGGATGGTACATTCTTGATGGAACTTCTCAAACAAAGCTTGTTAAGTAGTTGTACCCAGGTCACATTTGTTGCAACAAGTTTATTCAAAACTCGGGTCGGGTGTTCTTCCTCCATTGGTGCCTGTTATTCTCTTGGTGTACTCATTCTTCTCCTTAGCATCTTTTAGCTAACATAGTTATAGAAGTCTCCCTCTGGTTGAGATGGAAATAAATGGTATTGAGAATCGAGGGATTAAGTGAGAATACAGACAAGAGAGTATGTTTTGTGTCTGGTACACTGATAAGGTATAGAAAGAACCTTTTCATTACCTTTTTGGAAGTGTAACATTCAAGGTATGCATAGGTGCACTGTGATCAAAAGTTACCTATATGCGATAATTTCCTCTCTTTCTCAACAAATTTATGTCTTATGGTCTCAAAATCGCACTAGTATCACCTTTAAATGGGTTGCACATCAGGGTTATTTGTAGGTTAGTTTTTATCCAATAGGGGTAGCATGGTAGGTATTCTACACTTCCAATCAGGGATCAATCTAAGGAACTAAGGAAGGCTGCTAGAATAAACTGTCGCGCTAAACCCTAGGACCCCGCCTATGTCGTTTTCCTTTCACTATATTAGAAAGTGAACACCTCCTGTTGCTAATCAAACCAATACAAAAGAAGTTTGTTGTAAAAGCAAAAATTCTGAATGTTTGTTTCTGGTTTAAAATTATACTTTGGTTGTCTGGCTGCCGCTGTACAAATGTTATAATCTAACTATTCGACCTTGTATTAATGATAGCAAAAGTTGAAGAGCCTCAGCAAAAAGTTAAAAAGCTTTGGAGTTGCTCTATTTGTACATATGACAACGAGGAGGGCATGTCTGTATGTGATATTTGTGGTGTTATTCGCAACCCCGTGGCTGGTGATTTCAAGAACAGCAATAAGAAAACAGGTTTGAGTCTTCCACGGTTTCCCCCCCATTTTTTGTCTTAGTGTTTTGAATTCTCATCTCTGTCTCTCTTGAATGTGAAAACCAAGCTGACTAATATTTTTGACATTTTGGGTTTAATATGCATTATTGTTGCTATAATTATGTTTTCCTGTTATGGAACTCATCTTCCCTTATTTAACTTGATGTTGTCATTATTAAACCAACTCCAGTTTGAAACAATCAAGAAAAAACAAAAAAGACTGCAAACAGACAATTTCTTTTGAAAGCTGAAGCCCATTATCTTGTGTGTTTTTGGCATTAAGCGATATGCCAAAACTTGGTTTGCTAACTTTGATATTTAGGAATCCTTTCGAGTGGATCATACCATCATAGATTAGATGTGTTTGTTGCAGCTGACAGTGAGGGCAAATGCTCTGGAGTATCATTGTTGGCAAAGTCTCTTTTTGGATCACTGCCACATCAGACATCCCAGAAGGCCGTGGTTGGTCAACTGCAGAAGGATGATCTTGTGATGGAAAGCAGGAATGACTTTCACAAGTGTGGAAGTTCCCAAGGAAATTTCCTTGCTTTCCATAGTGCTTGTAGTTCCTATAGTCATTCTCATGTTAATATAGGTCTGAACTGTTCTAGAGCAATGAGTGTTGCCTTTATTTTGCCTGGGAATCATTTAAGCTCAGCAGTTATTTGTATGTGATGGCTAGTTCGGAGTTGACCTGTCAACCTGTTATTATCGCCATCTAACCTCCTTGGTATTTACCATGCAGCTGCTTTCAAGTTCGATGCTCCATCTCCTGATGACATGGTTTCAACTAGATTACAGTCCTCAAAACTTAATACACAAGGTATGTTTTTTTTTTTTGTATTGATTGCAGTCTGTTGCCTGGATTTTAATCATTCAGTGTCTGCTTGGGTCATCTATAGAGCAATGAGTGTTGCCTTTATTTTGCCTGGGAATCATTTAAGCTCAGCAGTTATTTGTATGAGATGGCTAGTTCGCAGTTGACCTGTCAACCTGTTATTATCGCCATCTAACCTCCTTGGCATTGACCATGCAGCTGCTTTCAAGTTCGATGCTCCATCTCCTGATGACATGGTTTCAACTCGATTACAGTCCTCGAAACTTAATACACAAGGTATGTTTTTATTTTATTTTTGTATTGATCGCAGTCTGTTGCCTGGATTTTAATCATTCAGTGTCTGCTTGGGACATCTAATATACATGACATCTTAATAGCAGGAGAACCTTTAGTCGAGCATGATAATCTTCGGTATCAGATATCTCTTGGAAATAGTTGGTGCTGTTACTTGAACCCTCTCCAGCTGGTCTTGGATTCTCAAAACACCATTTTCGTCTTGATTTAGGAATCTGATACTTGAGATATCAAAGTGCCTTCAGATATTTGTTGTGTTTTGATTTAGACTTTTGCTTTAACTGGTACCCATTTTTAAATGGGTGAAATGGATATGCTGCACACGAGCATGCCATATATTGTCCTTTTTCCTGAAGTGCTTAGATTTGTGCAGGTAATGTAAAGCCTTCAACAGTAGCTGAAGATGGCAATGGTGCAGAAAGTGTACATTCTACCATGCAAAGGTCTGAAAAGTCAAACAAGTCGAAAGGGAAGCGAGGTAAACAGAATGCAAGCAATTCAACAGACACAGCAGTCAATGGAAAATTAGATTCCAAATATTCAGATCGTCCTCCTGCAGAAACATTTCATGGAAGTAGTGGTAGTATAGAGGGACACAATTCTTTAAAGAAGGGCATCCTCAGTGGTCAACTTAGTGATGAAGCTTCTGGTAGTTCTAACCCATTGAAGATTGAAGGAACACAAGGGAATGCAGATGATGACTTCAGTGGTCAAAAGCAAACTGCCCCAGCCAGCAATTTCGGAAAGATGTCTTTGTCTGACAAACCCGGAAATTCCAATGCTCTTGATTCCAGAAAACACAAGTCAACTGCAGAATACCATCCTGATAAATGGATGCTTCCTGACAAGGCTAACGACACATTAACTCAATTGAACCTTGCAATTGTAAGTTCTTTTTTTGGCTGGAACCTAGCAATTGTAAGTTATGTGTTGTATAGTGTAAGGAACCTTATGTGGGTTTTAATTTCTATTTTTTTCCCCCTTTTTTTGCTGAAGTTTTTACCAAGACTGTCTTATCTGTCATTTCAGGTTGGTCATGTTGATTCAGGAAAATCAACATTGTCAGGAAGACTGCTCCATCTTTTGGGAAGAATCACTAAGAAAGAAATGCACAAATATGAAAAAGATGCCAAGATACAGGTGATGGTGTTTAGACTTGTTTTTCTTCTTGCATTTATACCTTGGCGAACTTATCAATTTATGGGATTGACAAGGCCTCTATTTGAGCAGGGAAAGAGTTCCTTTGCTTATGCGTGGGCTTTAGATGAGAGCCCTGAAGAGCGAGAAAGGGGAATTACCATGAACGTGGCAGTTGCATATTTTAATTCCAAAAAGTATCATGTTGTCATCCTCGATTCTCCTGGTCATAAAGATTTTGTTCCAAACATGATATCTGGTGCAACACAAGCGGATGCCGCTATTCTAGTGATTGATGCATCTAATGGTGCCTTTGAAGCTGGATTCGATGGTTCCAAAGGGCAAACGCGTGAGCATGCTCTACTGATTAGAAGCTTTGGTGTGGAACAACTTATAGTTGCTGTCAACAAAATGGATGTTGTGGGGTACTCAAAGGATCGTTTTGATCTTATCGTTACACAACTTGGTACATTTTTTCGTTCTTGCGGCTTCAAGGAATCATGTATTTTGTGGATTCCTTTAAGCGCTGTAGAAAACCAAAATCTAGTGGCTGCTCCTTCTGATGCTCGTTTATTGTCCTGGTAGGTTTTTCTTTTTCCTTCTGCAGCCACTTCATTTGTCCCTTGTGCTTTTTGTTGGATCATGTACGGATGATCCACCTCGGCCTTGATGATTATTGATTAGCTGAGTGAATTTCAGGTACAGAGGACCTTATTTGTTTGATGCAATTGATTCTCTCCAACCTCCAGCAAGAGATTTTGCCAAACCGCTGCTGATGCCCATATGTGATGTAACCAAATCATCTTCACAAGGCCAAGTGTCAGTCTGCGGTAAATTAGTAGCTGGAGCACTTCGCAGTGGATTGAAGGTGCATAATTCATCAACCCTACTTTTCCTTGATAAACTCTTAGTTTGATTTAGGGCGGATGCAAAAATTTGTAAGTCTGTATGACTTCCATATCCGCTTTTGAGTTTTGTTTGTTGCTCATTTAGTGTGGCCACCTCTCTGGGTATGGGAGCATATATGTGTTAGAAAGATTACTGCTTTTGAGTGTGTACCCACATTGTTGCTTGCCACTTTTGATTGTAGGTGATGGTGATGCCATCTGGAGAAGTGGGAACAATAAAGTCCTTAGAGCGTGATTCTCAAAGTTCTGCTGTTGCAAGAGCAGGAGACAATGTAACTATCAATCTCCAAGGAATCGATCTGAGTAACAATGTCATGCCTGGAGGAGTTGTATGCCACCCTGACTATCCCGTCGCTGTTGCAAGGCATTTGGAGCTGAAAGTGCGCGCCTTAGAAGAATTAGCAGTCCCTATTCTCAACGGCTCTCAGGTAAATAGCCAGCTCATTCCCCCCTCCCCCTCCCCCCCTGAATTTCAATGCCGTCTTATTATCGTTTCACGATCGCCAATTTGCAATCCTTTGTGTTGAGCGCACACAGGTGGAGTTTCACATACATCATGCACAAGCGGCAGGAAAAGTAGCCAAAATACTATCGATACTGGATCCAAAGTCGGGGAAGGAGACGAAGAGATCACCCCGATGCCTTCTCTCCAAGCAAAGCGCTGTGATTGAGGTGAGAAAACTCGAGATCCATTGAAAAAGACAAGAAAACTTACAAACCATTGTCTTCCCTCTCTTTTGGGCGAATGCTTTTTCGTGGTGAACTGAACTGGACCTAATCGGCTGGTATGCAGGTTGTTTTGAATACGCCGGTCTGCGTGGAAGAATACTCCAACTGCAGAGCCCTGGGGAGGGCGTCCCTTCGAGCCATGGGGAGAACCATTGCCATTGGCATTGTGACCCGGATAATCCAGTAGTGAGGACCTGCACTTTTGTGCTGTGTTCTTTTGAGCATAGCTAACGTAGATAACTTACTGAAACTCTGTAAGTGCTCGAGGAAATGACAGGAATAGTCTGCAGTCTAGACATTTTGGGTGAACGACGACGTTCTGTATAGAGTCTTCAGTCTTGCATGTATGCTATCTATTGATTTATTATTGTTTTCTGTCTTGGCTTACTCGTTTGTTTCCCCTTGTTTTGTGGGAAAGGTTGAATGGAAATGGAGGGTAAGAGGCTGTCTGATATAATAAGGTTGTCAATCCGCTGGTTGACCTGTATTGGTCCAGATTAAACCTTGAAAATGGGTTAAAATAGCTCATTTGAGAGTTAGCTCGGAAATGGTCAAGCCCGAGAAAACCTAGTCAAACTCCGCGGTTGGCCTGTCCGAGTGGATCAGTGGGCTGCTCGTTCTAAAGTGTCATTGAATATGTTGAATTTAAGTTGATGTTATTTAAGTGTGTTGGAGTTTAAATACTGTTTTTTTTATTTTTTATGTTGAATTCAAAATAAGTACAATACAATGACTTTTTCATATTTTTTTGCTAAACTGAACTAAAATGGGTGACCCATCAACCCTTAACCCACTAGCTCGATTGGGTCTGGGTCGACCAACGGGTTGACAACCTTGGATATAATATAATAACTTAATAATTAATAAGGTCAAATTAGGAAGATGTTCCTTTTAGTAAAAGTCGAATATATTACTGGGAAGTTTGAATAGACTTTTCTTTTTAAAATGTAAGAATGGAATTAGAAATCCACACATTGGGTATGTTATTGCCTAGATATGGCTTGTGAATCTTTAGTAGGAGAAATGAAGAAAGAATCGGACTAGCAGGTGTTTCGATGTGAGCATTGGGTTGTCTGGTTGGAGATAACGTGATTTGGAATTGGGTTTTGAATTTTGCAAAGGTTCTTGGAGATAACGTGATTTGAAATATGATAGTTCTATCTATGTAATGAAAAAATGAGTGAAAATTTATTAAATTTAACAAGGAAGATAATGATATGAGGAAAAAAATAAATCGAATTTGGTTAATCTTTAATCTCCACAATCTAGCTATCTTTCGACTAATCTTCGTTAAAATAGTAGCAACTAAAAACAGAGTAGTGCAATCTTGTCTCCACAAAAATAGTACGATCTAACTTGTTGAATATCAAAATGGGGGCATCGTGGCTATGAAAAGAAGTCGACTTATTCAACTAGGATAAAAAAGAATACACGGTTTATAAATTTATATTGAATTTACACCATTCATTTATTGTATCGAGTAGTATGATTTACCATTCATGTTTTTAATGTGGGCACCACTTGGAATTTTGTTGCTCAACCTTAAAAAAAACAGGTAGGTTAATCTCACCTTAAAATGAAAAAAACACTTGATCCAATAATATTTTTTTTCCTAAGCACATTATCTTTGACCTAACTAGCTATTCAAACAATTTGACATTTGTATCCATTTTATGAGCCAAGGAATTAGGAAAATCAATTGCATCGGAAATCGGGAGGAGAGGAGGCCACAAATACATTATTGCCTCTCAAAAACTCAACTCACTTTCACCAACAAAAAAAAAAAAAACTCAACTCACCTACTACGTAATTCACTTCACTTTGTCCCCTCGATCACACTTCACGCGCCCCCGCGCGTATGCTCAAGAACAAGTCCTCCTTCCTTTCTTCTTCCCATCTCTCGTCTTCTTCTTCTTCTTCTCGGCTTCCGATTTCCCCCCTTCCCCTGTTAGCTAGCTTTCTCTCTCTCTCACAGAGGTACGATTCTGGATTCTCCTTCTACTTCCTCTCTCTATCATTTCTGATTGCTTCATTTCTCGCGGCAGACTCTCTCTATATCTCAATTTCCATTTTCCAGTACGTTCTTATTCTTCATTTGTTTTTTTGCTGATATGGAGCTGGTTCTGGCTCTGATTGGTCTTCTTCTTTACTAATTGACTGAGATTGCTCTGCTCGGTTTGGTTATGGTGGAATCTTCGATCACCTTCCTTCGATTTTGCTTTTGATTTCGCGGCTCACTTCTGAACGTTCCGCGGCGGTTGAATGTCAGTTGGTTGATACTTTTCAAGCGACTTACCTGGTACTTCTCTTAAAAGGAAAAGAGAAAAAAAAAAAAAAAAACTCAACGGCATATTCTTCTTTGTAGCCACAGTTTTATCATTTATGACTTTGTTTTCCCCCCGGTACAGTTATTTCTTAGTTTAGAACTTGACAAGAATGGCAATTCATGTTTTCATTTCTATTATCCTTCCGTTGATTTCAGTTTGTTTTCAATTTTCTGTACGGTAAGTGGGATCCAGGAAATGAATGATCTTGATAATAGATGGCCTACTTCTGGCCTTTGGGATGGTCTGGAATCTGGATTTCTATTTGGGATAGATGGATTGTGCTTGACTTGTTATCGTAGTCTCTGGCTATGGATAATGGCTATTTATCTGTTGCAACTACGAGTGATCTTTTTGATTTGGTGCTTGCAGTTTTCGGCGGATGGATGTCTGTGCCAAGTTCAGGCTTATACTTGGATTCAGCCTGATTTAACGGATCAGATTAGTTGCATCCTTTGGTGGGTTTTCATAATTTTGTGTAGTAGTTTGACATCTGAAGTGAGAAGTGGAAGAGGAGTAATTATACTGGCCATGCCCTTTGTAGACTCTCACTGATGGCGATTGCACACTATTTTCGAAAAGGGTTCACTGCTAAAAGTTTTCACATGGAAGAGATTGAGTTAGATACTGACTGGGAAGATGTAGTGTGTCCAATTTGTTTGGATTTCCCTCATAACTCTGTGCTCCTCCAATGTTCATCATATCACAAGGGTTGCAGGCCATTTGTATGTGACACTGACCACTTGCATTCCAATTGTTTGGACCGCTTCAAGAGTGCATGTGGTATGTCACCTCCTTCAGCAGACTCTGACAAGCCATCATCAGAAGCAGATGAAGATGTCAAACTGGCTTGTCCCTTGTGTAGAGGGGAAGTTACTGGCTGGATTGTTGTCCAGAAAGCTCGATTGCTTTTGGATGAGAAGAAACGGTGTTGTGAGGAACATCGATGTGGGTTTTCAGGTGCGTATTTGGAACTTCAGCAACATGCCAAACTAGAGCACCCACATGCTCGTCCTTCTAAAATCGACCCTGCTCGCCAGCTGGACTGGGATAATTTCCAGCAGTCATCTGAGATCATAGATGTTTTGAGCACCATACATTCGGAAGTGCCACGTGGAGTGGTTTTGGGAGACTATGTGATTGAGTATGGGGATGATGACAATACTGGAGATGAGTTTGATGACTTTCGTGGGGATGAAGGCAACTGGTGGACGTCCTGCATCTTCTATAAGGTCTTTGACAATTTCAGAAACTCAAGGAACAGAAGAAGATCTAGAGTAGCCGATACCAGAAGGGGGAGCCGCCGATCGAGTTATGACACTTCGAACTCAGATGAGGGTTCTGTTGTGTCTGTTGACTTTGCAGAGTATAGATTAGATGAGATGGATGATGAATTTCCAAGTGCAAGCAGGGGCCATTCTACTCATCGCAGGTCAGATTAACCCTTTTTCTCAAGTCAAATGCTTACGCTTGCATTCTCTTTTTCAACCGTTTGAGAATTTTTATGTGCCAAGACATGGCCAACTGGGCAAAGAAGGTGTTAAGCGAACTGCACTGTGAAAAGGGTCCAGTGGACTATCCCCTGGAGAAATGTAGAGAAAAAGATTCCAGATTGGACTGAGAAGATTGAGCCGTAATGTTAGATGTTAGTTTTAGTACCCTAGTTTTATTTGCCCACTGGTTGCTGTGCTAATTTGTTGTGAAGCTATTAATCTTGGGGTAGGTGGTTAAGGTTGCAGAGCTGTAATCACATTTTTTTGAATTATGTTGGAATGAACTGGCACATAACACACATATATCGTTAGTATAAGATTCATATTGCAGAATTTTGATTAAGTAAGTGATTCTGGTTAGCTGCAGGATAATTGAATTTGCACTCATCAATCTGCTCCTGGTGGCTCTTGTTTTACAGTTCTCGCAGGCGCCATTCTCGGTTCTATGATGGCTAGGTATGCATAATGGGGCAAAGCTTGTGAGTTTAGCACTTAAAGATGGGTCCATACATCTTGTTTGGCACCTCAGTTCACCTCTTACCTCGATGCCTGACTCAATGCACTGAAGAAACTGAAGCAAGTCAAGCAGGATCACAATGAGAAGTGGGGATGGTCCTGTTAGCGTTCAGACATCATTTTGAAAAAGAAATCTGCTTACAATGTTGCATCTTTGTTGCTTTAGATAGCTGGATTGCTGCTGAAAGATGTGATTCAGAAATGGCGCTAGGCCGATATAGGCAGATGTAATGTGGATAAGATGGTGACTGGGAAGCCGATATAGGCAGATGTAATTGGATAAGATGGTGACTGGGTGTTTTCCCTTCTCTTGCTGTTGTGACTTGTGGTTGTCAGTGAAACTTTTGTTTTGGGAGGAGAAATGGGGTTTGCTTAATGTGATTAGATTTGTTTCCTTTCTTGTTTTCCCTTCTCTTCCAGTAATGGTCTGTTTTCCTGCTATAAGTTTGAGTAGACTTGAAAGTTAACACACTGGCTGTATAAATTGAAAATCGTTGGGGTGATTCAGCTATCAAATTGAAAACCCAGCTAATGTCCGTAAGTGTAGTCCTAATGCTTACTTGAGCGTGTGCATCCTTCGATTGTGAAAAGCGTACATTTAACCGCTATAAAAAGCTAAACCTGAATCACGATCCAACAACGGTGAATTATTATTCGAATAGTATGATTCGTCGGTCCTAACATCGATGTCATCGAGTGGTGGTGGATTACTAGAACGATGGTGTAAGCTGAGGGACTGTGGCATTTCCCTGGTGATGGTGGCTTGATGATGCGACTGGGCAGCATTAGCTTTCTTGGCTGATGTGACCACATCTGTGTTTGTGTCTCCTTGTTTGATCTTCCTACATTATTTTATGGCCTAACAGAACAAATATTACGTACCAGCAGATCTAAATAATTAAAGTATGTCCTTTGAGTTTGTGCTAGGCCACGCTGACCCATTATTGCCGCCCAATATTGACCCGAAAGAACACTGTAGCTGTTCCCACTCTGGCCTCTGAAAGACTTGTAGGATCAAAGCTTACAAACACTTCTCCCCGAAGAGTTCAAGTTCTTCTGGCATCCACAATGGGTCATATCGTATAAGCATCTGAGCCTCCCCAGTTCTCCAAACGAGTCCTGATTGGCACCTCTGCATCAAGCGAGAGGATCTCAGCGCTCGCTCATCTCGAACACACCTCTCTGATTGAGGAATCAGTTCAGTCGTTCGGTGTTAGGGGGTCGGGCCATACAGAAGTCCGGCAGCACAAGACAATCCTGATTTCAGTTCACATACAAATGCCATTGACATGGTCACATAACGGAAATAAGAAGCAGCTAGGCAAATTCGCATCCAACTAAACAAAATCCAGGATACCAGCTCTGATTCCCAGTGCAAATCCAATTTAAGGAAAAATAACTTCGGTGTAGAAACTGCTGTTAGGCTTTTACCAAGACACATAGACCAGTACATGTAGAGACCAACCAGTAGCATCAGCTGTAGCTGTAGCTGTAACTGAAGCTGTATTTCTTGTGTGGCATGACTAATACGGGACATTATTGGGCAGGTTCCTTATAACGTTGCTTTTCATGCCAATCTTAGAGCGCATCACCTCGACATCTGATCGCTTCATCGCCTTCATCACTTTCATCCTCACAAACTGTTCTTTCGACTGTACCGTTGCCAACCCCATGCTCCTATACCTGGAAGCATTCGCCCACAAGAGAGAATCAGTGCCATGTTTGAAGATTGAAGAAAATTCTAACCAGAGAAGGGGAAAGGGGAGGGAATGCAAACCTAGCAGCCAAGGTGGCAGTCATGGGGACATCGCTTGCAGGTGGTCGTGGCTTCTGGCGATAATAACGGAGGAATTCTCGGGAACCAAGTGTTTTAGATAGTACTTTACCATCAGTCCTTGAAGTGATAATTAGCTCAGAACCACTACCCCCGAGATCCAGGGTGTTGTCCATATCCCCTGAAGCAACCAGCTGTTTTCCATCCTCATCCATGTAACTACACGAATGATGTAGCACAGTGTTATTTTCAATCATAGCCAAACCAACACAAAGGTTATAAGAAAGAATGTCATAGAGCAAAACCTGCTACTATAATCATAAAACTCCTCCAACTCGACTTCCTCTTCATCATCCCCATCACCATAATGGACTTTGCAGTGACTTTTTGCTTCCATGTGCTTCCTAACTGCTTCTACGCTGCTAAATGGCTGGCGTTGATCGTTGCAGTATAAACAAATGAAATCCCTCGTCGCCTGGGAAAAAAGGGCAGAAACAGAATTGACTGAGCAAAACAAGATACAAGAGGACAAATATAAAGAAAGAAATCAAACAAATGGAACTCAGTGCTACCTTGAGACCAAGATAAGTAAGGAACCCCTTCGGATCCTTCAAATACTCTAAATCAGGAATGAAGAACCCATGCTGCTTATGCATGTGCACCATGCACCCTTCTATATTGTCATGCTCTTGATCGCACATGAAGCAAACACTAGGATCAAACAAATCATCATCTTCTTCTTCCTCCTCATCTTCATCCATATCATTGCTGGCGCCTACTCCATCCACATTCAAACCAGTCATTGACTTGGTCGCATCACCAACCAATACTTCATCTGGGTCAACCTCTTCCCACTCATCATCATCATCATCATCACTTTCTACACTCTCCTCTTTCTGCGGAGGTCTGTTCACTACCCGTTGAGGACGTGGCTTGATTATTGTTTCCTCTTCTTCCAACATTGTGCCCTGAGAAGCCCTCAAGATGTGGCCCCTCGACTTAAGGTGTTGCTCGTGAGCTTTCATGCTTCGATAACCCTTGCCACAAAGGGTGCAAGTATAGAGCATCGGGGTCTCACGAGACTTATCTTTCTCTTGAGCAATTGCAGACTGTCTAGCCTCAAATAATGCTTCCGTAACTCCTGGAACCCCAGCCACCTGATAGTTTCCGATGTACAACACAAAGCAGAGCTATTGTCAGATCCATATTAACTCATAAATATCAACAGCTGCAATAGGCCATTCAAGGGTGAGTATTGTTCTTTCTCTACAGTGCAAAAAAATTGAACTTTCCCAGAAAGCAGTGATTCAAACAGACATGATCGAAGTAGTTCTTTTTGGGAAAGCAGGCAGTAGAAACAGTCATGAAACCGCTGCAATCGAACGGGAAAGCAAAACCCAGAACTTTACTCTATTCTTTATAAAGAATTGCCATAGAATCAATAAATAAACCGAAGAGCAGTAAACCCTAATCCACCACAAAGGCAAAGCCGCCATCATTCATGTTCTTATTCTGAAGTCGAGGTTGATGGGAAGAGTGAAGAAAGAGGAGAAACCTTGCGTTTGAGATTGTAGCGATGCCAATCAGACTTGTAATGGAGCTTCTGCTCAGCATCGTCTTGGAATTCTTTGTTGCAAGAGTTGCAGGTCAGGCCCGACATTTTGGCACTCCCCGGCTGGATGGAGACTGAGAGAAGAGAAAGAAGGAGGCAGAGTGTATAAGAAGGGAAACGCACAATCGGAAAAAGAAGGCGCCGGCGGGTAAAGTTTTATACAACTGGCGGGCGGCGGCTTCTTAGTTCTTAGTCGGTCGGTTGAGAACGGTGGTAAGGAATGAAGAGAAATCTTTGCGCGGAAATGCTTACCTAAGCCATTACGAAAGAGAACGTTGTGTTGTTCCAATTGGGCTGAGCCCGTTCTAATGCCCAGTGTCTATGGGCTTCACTGATGGTTCGTATGGGCCATACCGTCCTTCGGACCCAATCTCACCAGCGGGCCCACGGAGAAAGCAACATTTATACGTCCTTCCCTCTTAAACCTCACCTGTAGTGGAAGAGAGTTGAACCCGCAAAATTCACCGGAGCGACGCCATGGATCCCTACCCTTCCTCCTCTCAAATCGCGCAGAAGACCTGGGAACTCGAGAACGACATCGTCTCCGTCGACACTCCGGCGACGTCGTCCAGCGCCGACGCAGCTTCCGATGCCATCTTCTACTACGACGATGTGGCTCAGGCCAAGTTCCAGCAGGAGAAGCCCTGGGCTAACGATCCTCACTACTTCCGCCGCGTGAAGATCTCCGCTCTCGCCCTCCTGAAGATGGTCGTCCACGCTCGATCCGGTGGCACCATCGAGGTCATGGGGCTTATGCAAGGGAAGACTGACGGCGACGCCATTATCGTTATGGACGCCTTTGCTTTGCCTGTTGAAGGGACTGAGACTAGGGTTAATGCACAGGCTGATGCGTACGAGTATATGGTTGATTATTCCCAGACTAACAAGCAGGTTAGGGTTTTTTCTTTGCCCTTTCTATAATCTTCTATTGTTCAATTTAGTTTTCGTTTGCGTATAGTTAACTACTGCTAGGGTTTATGTCCCGTAGTAGGAGTTTGTATTGCCGAGCTCGATTTCTTAGACTTCAAAACAGGAATTGAAGGGTTTATATGATTAGTATTAGCTTGAATGAAGAAGTTCGTTGTGTGAAGGTAGTTTGTCTCGAGTGGACTTGATTGAGTTGCTCGTACGTGTTCCTATATCTATGCTTAACTAGTCTCTTTGTGACAAGGGTGCTGTTTTTGTAGGCTGGACGGCTAGAGAATGTTGTTGGGTGGTATCATTCGCATCCTGGTTATGGATGCTGGCTCTCCGGAATTGATGTGTCAACCCAGATGCTAAATCAGCAGTTTCAGGAGCCCTTTCTAGCAGTTGTTATTGATCCAACTAGGACGGTATCAGCTGGGAAGGTTGAAATCGGAGCCTTCAGGACATACCCCGAGGGATACAAACCTCCAGATGACCCAGTTTCCGAATACCAGACCATTCCTCTTAACAAAATTGAGGACTTTGGTGTACATTGCAAGCAGGTTCTCATCTTGATTTTGACTGTTATAACTTTTGGCAATTCATATGAACGCAATTGTGTTGCTAATGCTGTCCTGCTTCTTCAGTATTATTCTCTAGATATTACTTACTTCAAGTCATCCCTCGATAGCCACCTATTGGATCTTTTATGGAACAAATACTGGGTGAACACACTTTCTTCTTCACCTCTCTTGGGCAATGGGGACTATGTGGCTGGACAAATTTCAGATTTAGGTAATGTGTTGCATTGTTGATTGCATTTTCATTGAGCTGTACTTCAAGACGAAAGTTGGAATGTTGGTCCAACAAATTTTGTCCTTCCCTCATTATGAATTAACACATCCTGTGTCCTGCACAGCTGAAAAGCTTGAGCAAGCAGAGAATCAACTGGCTCACTCTCGTTTTGGATCCTTGATCGCACCTCCCCAGAGGAAGAAAGAGGTGAGGGCTCTTTTTTGTTGCTTTTGGATCTTTAAGAGATATCTGTTGAACATGAGGGCCTGTCACGAATGCTTCTACTTCTTTATTACATGTAAAGTTTCCATGTTTGATTTGAAGAGTAAGTCATGTGTGATAAGTGACTGCCCCCTCTGTTACCCCTTGTGGTCAAACCTTTTTCTCGTTTAAAATTTTATTATGGTGGACTATCCTTGTGGCTGTTCATTCATATGCCTCCTTGGAGTGTGCCTGATTACTGAACAACCTCATTTTGCGAGTTGCAGGAAGAATCACAGCTTGCTAAAATCACCCGAGACAGTGCTAAGATTACCGTGGAACAGGTCCATGGTCTAATGTCACAGGTGAGATCCGTAGCCCCAGTTTGACATCCCTAGCATGCTCTGAACACTTGATAGATAAATGCTCTTATTCATACATTCTTGTTAAACTGTGTCAGGTTATCAAGGACATTCTTTTCAATTCAGTGCGACAATCAAGTAGGTCTCGTGCAGAGCCATCCGAGCCAGAGCCGGAGCCAATGGTGGAGTCTTGAGTGTTTTTGTTGCGACATTTTGTGTTACTTATCATTCATGCTAGGGGGCTGAAAGGAAAATTTCATATGATAGATGAGGATAGCAAACAAAAGTAGCTTGAGTTTTCTCAACTTGTCCAGGCAGATGTAAATTCTTTTTGTCAGCTCCATTCCTTCATCAATTTGCTTCTGTTGCAAACTTGCTGGATCATTGGAAATGCTTAGTTATGGTGAATGATCAGAGACTATCGTGCCCCGGTCGAAAATTGTTCTTATGCCTACCGATTGCTTGTCTGAATACTTCTGCTGATCTATTGCTTAAGTTACAAGGGCTAAGTATATACTTAAAAACTACTTGGTGATTAGATGATTGTAAGATCAATAAAGGGTAGAGCCGTTTAAAGTGTTTGTAGGCAATTTGATCAATGAGGGTTTGGACATTATCCGCTGCTGAAGAAAATGTCAAATCAACCCTTGAACTTTCCTGTTTTGGTCAGTAAACTCTCACTAGAGTCAAATCAACCTATCAAACAAGAAGGTAGATTGCATTGTTGATTTCGCTATGATGATGATCAAACAAGAAGGTAGATTGCATTGTTGATTTCGCTATGATCGAGTTCATTTGTCCAGTCTGGTTTAATTTTATTAATGTTATATCTATTTTTTCGATATTCAATTATTTGAAGTGGATTTGACTCACAAGCTTGTAAAAATCAATGTTTGTGAAACGGTACCTGATGTTATGCCGGAAAGGTTAAATCGTGTTTCAACTGTTTTGTACCGCTAAAACCGCATACAGTTTAAGACTTAATATCTGACATTTTCGGTCAGACCGATAAGTACGGTAGGGTTTCTTAAATCATGGTAAAAATAACATGCCTTCCTTCCTTTTCAAACTTGATATATTCTAAAAATGTTAGTGTTATATGAAAATTACTCCACAAAGTTCCCCAATTTTGAAAACATAATAGAGTTGGGAAATCTACAGTTGAAGTCCACCATAGCTTGAGCACAGGATGTCCATGTAGAATCATATGGAGAGAATAAAAAACATGAGGTAAACCACACTCTCCAACATAATAACAAGAATATAGCCAAAATTTTGAGTAAAGGTAAGAGGACAACGTAACCAAATGACTAAACGAACATTCACTTGCGTTTGCTCTACTCTCTTATATTGAAATCAACAAACTGATTGGGGTCGTTTGGAGAATATGAGTTTAAATCTATAGATTGTCAACAATCTAAAGATTCTAACTCTTCAGATTGTTGAAAATAGATTTTAAAATGTTTATCGTTTGGTAACTGTGATTGTTAATATTCAATGAAATTAAAAATTTATTTTTATATTAAATAACATGTTTATCCTTAATAAAAAATTAGGGTGATTCAAGAAATATTAAAAACTTTATTGATAAATATATTTAATATGATAAATAAATAAAAGTATGAGAAAAAAATCTCACGAATCAAAATATAGAATCTCTCTGATTATGAGAGATTTGATATTCCGTAGATTTTAGAGATTTGAAATCTCTAAATCTAAAATCCACAATACAAAAAGCAACAAAAAAAAACATAACTTTTTACAAAATCTACGAATTCAATGAATCCACGCTCTAAATCTCGTTCTCCAAACGACCCCATAATTATATCTATTAAAAAAAATGTGGCCATAAAGGAGTATCGAGCCAGTCTAAGCTATGGATTTGGATTGCTAATTAATTAATTACCAATGACAATTTAGCTTTTTAGCATAACATAATAATATATTTTGCTACATGTTAATGTACGTACTTGTCTAGGTACTAGTAGGCCGAGTAGAGGTGGCAATTGGATCGGATTCGTGGATTCGTGGATCCATGGATCAAATGGATTGGATCCAATGGATTGGTGGATTCATGGATTGGATCAAATGGATTGGTGGATTGATCCATGAATCCAAATGACATCCAAGAATTGGATCAAAATGTAAATTTTAAAAAGTTTAGGTACTAAAATGTCATAATGAAAAATTTTAGGTACCAAAATGTAATTTTCCAATGATTTTTTTCGTATAAAAATATAAATTTTAGGTATCAAAATGTAAAATATAAAAAATAAAGGTACCAAATCGTAATTTGCCATTTGGATCCATGGATTGATCCATGAATCCACCAATCCAATTGGATTTTGATAAAATGGATTGGATTTAAATGGATTGGATTAAGTGGATAATTTGGTGGATGAATTGGATTGGATTCATGGATTTGGATCTTAATTGCCACCTCTAAGGCCGAGGTGATAGAGGAGTAATTGAATCGATTGGTGTAGATTTGAACCGAGATCGTGAAATGAATTGTTAAAGTTAAGATTATCACTTTTAACATGTGGGTTTTTTTCTTATAGCGATTTTAAGATGTTTTAGGAAACCAATTTTGAGATTCATAAGTTGCGTAATGAACTTGTAGAATATATGTTATTATTTCCGGGAATCAATCTAATTTTGCACATTTGTGATTCTCTTCCCTACCATAGTCCAAATTGGAACTTCTGAATATAGGAAGGATAAGGAAATTAATACTCCAATTAACTTTGATAATAAAAACAAACTACCCTCCGCAGTCCTTAATCACTCATTATTAACCTAACCCAGCTCGAATTTCCGTGGTTAAGGATTAGGTTTCGGTTCGGGCTAGGAAACCAAATGTGAAACGGAGCGGGGACACGTGTAGTTACCAGAGGTGATGACATCGCATCAGATCACCACCGCCGGCGGAACGGCAACGCTAACTCTCCGGTCCCGGTCCCTTACTCATCGGCGCGTGGCGCGGGCTCTAAAAATTTATCAAAATAAATAAAATGATTATTTTCAAAAACAAATCATAACAGCCCAACGACGACAACAACAACAGTGCCGGCCCGTACTCCATCGACGGATCGGATCTCCTTCCTTCAATCTTCCCCCGGTATAAAATAGCCCGCCCCCGCAACGAAACTCAAAATTCACCTCTGCATTTTACCCCGCGCCGTCTTTTTTTTTTTTTTTTTCTCTTCTGCTGTATTATGATTTCACTGTAAGCGCGCCGCTCTCCGACTACCTAGCTAGGGTTTTCCCGGTGATCGCCCGAAGTTCTCGCGTAAACATGGCGGCGAACAATGGCATCAGCCTTGAAGAGATAAAAAACGAGGCCGTTGATCTGGTACTCCCTCCCTCCTTCCTCCTTCCTCTTCTTCTTCTTTCGTTCGTCTAAGCAATATTCCAGCTGAGACAGTGTGATTGATTCGTGGTGTTGTTTCCTTCCCTGTTACGAGAGATTCCGTCTGTTTGCTTCTTCGTTTCTTTACGAGAGTTTCTTGGCGGTGTTTGTTTGAGTTTTTTACTGTGCTAGTATTAATTTTCGTTTGAATTGCCAGATCTGTTCTTCGTTCTTCTAGTTACTCTGTTACGTTAAAATCCCCGAATTATTCGTAATCACGTTAATTCTTGGATGGCTCGGCCCCCAAAGAGTCGGGGTTGACGGTCAAATTTTGATTGCAAGATAATTAAGTTTTTGTTTTTTTACAAAAAAGAGAGACTAGGAAGCAGAGGGAAAATTCGATTGTACAGGATTTTCATCGATTTGCTTCTCCATCCCCACGCGCACCACCGGCGCGTCTCTGTGCTTAGTTCATTTTTTCTAAGATAACAAACAAACAGGACTTTTCTATAGCTTGGAAGCAAATAATAAAATCAGAACTGAATCAGTGAATCACATTTGCAGGAAAGGATTCCCATCGAGGAGGTGTTTGAGCAGCTGAAATGTTCACGGGAAGGTCTCACCGGCGACGAGGGGGCCAACCGGCTTCAAGTCTTTGGGCCCAACAAATTGGAAGAGAGGAAGGTTTGTGAGATTGTGACTCTGGTCTATTACCCGTTTCACTTCAGGTTTTGTTCACGGGGAATGATTGATTCGTGTAAAATTTGGTTACAGGAGAGCAAATTTCTGAAGTTTCTGGGTTTTATGTGGAACCCGCTGTCATGGGTCATGGAAGCTGCAGCTGTCATGGCCTTACTCTTGGCCAACGATGGACGAAGTCCTCCAGACTGGCAGGACTTCGTCGGTATAGTTGGCCTGCTGGTCATCAACTCCACCATCAGTTTCTTTGAGGAAAATAATGCTGGAAATGCAGCGGCTGCACTTATGGCTGGCCTTGCTCCCAAGACCAAGGTGGGCAATCTTTCATCTCTACTTCTAGCTCTAGCTGCTGCTTCAGTTTGCATGTATCTGACTTACTGATGCGAACTCATAATGATAGGTTCTTCGAGATGGGCGCTGGACGGAGCAAGAAGCAGCAATCTTGGTTCCAGGAGACATTATCAGCATCAAGTTGGGAGATATTGTCCCTGCTGATGCACGCCTTCTGGAAGGTGATCCTCTAAAGATCGATCAATCTGCTCTTACTGGGGAGTCGCTTCCTGTCACTAAGAACCCTTACGATGAAGTCTTCTCTGGGTCGACCTGCAAGCAAGGCGAAATCGAAGCTGTTGTCATTGCCACTGGTGTGCACACCTTCTTTGGTAAAGCTGCTCATCTCGTGGACAGCACCAATCAAATTGGCCATTTCCAGGCCGTCCTCACTGCTATTGGTAACTTCTGTATTTGCTCGATTGCTGCCGGGATACTTGTTGAGATTATAGTGATGTACCCCATACAGCACCGCAAGTACAGAGACGGGATCGACAACTTGCTTGTTCTCTTGATTGGAGGAATACCTATTGCTATGCCAACCGTTTTATCTGTCACCATGGCTATTGGCTCTCACAGGCTGTCTCAGCAGGGGGCTATTACCAAGAGAATGACTGCCATTGAGGAGATGGCCGGTATGGATGTGCTGTGCAGTGATAAGACCGGGACTCTTACGTTGAACAAGCTGTCTGTTGATAGGACCTTGATTGAGGTGTTCGTTAAGGGTATGGACACAGAGCATGTCATTCTTCTTGCTTCCAGAGCGTCAAGGACTGAGAATCAGGATGCTATTGATGCGGCTATTGTAGGAATGCTTGCAGACCCTAAGGAGGTGCGTAGTATTCAACTTAGCTATCTGGCCTCAAATCTCCTGATCGAAGTCTGCTGATTGGTTTTGAGTAAAATAAAGCTTGAATTTTTTTGCAGGCGCGAGCTGGAGTTAGGGAGGTTCATTTTCTTCCATTCAATCCTGTCGACAAGAGGACTGCTTTGACCTATGTTGATTTGGACGATAACTGGCACCGGGCAAGCAAAGGTGCTCCTGAGCAGGTAATATTTATTCTGCTTCAGTTTTTAGCACATGGATCATTTGGTGACGACGGCGAAGTTAATGTGTGTGTTCATTTTTTGAGGCAGATATTGAACTTGTGCAATTGCAAGGAGGATGTTAGAAGGAAGGTTCATGCAGTGATTGATAAGTTTGCTGAACGTGGGCTTCGATCT